CCCCATATTCATCAATGGGCATACAAACAATGACACTTTGGGCAAGTGAACTGCAAAATGGCAGAGTAACCATGGATATCTTGGCTTTGTTCAAATAAAGAGCTCAGATTCATCATGGTAATGCCTCTTTTGTGCTGCATCCTCTTACTACATTTTACTTGCATCAGGCGTGGGCTTCATCTTGGTAGCCGATTGGTGATTCACAGCTTGTAACCCATAGGGATGCTGCCACATGGCCTTTAGAATTTGCTGAGGAGCAGTTAGATAGTTTTTCTTAGAAGCAGAGAAGATTCCTGGGAGAAAAGAGCCTAAGATTCCAAACACTATCTTTTAAGATTCTAAATTACTAAGACTCTAAGAAATAGGGAGGTAACTTTCACCAAGATAAAAATTAGGAAAAAATGGTGTGACACCATTTAGACAGCATGCCAGTTTGAATTTTGTTGTGGAAAGATTTTCAGCATACCTTACCACTGCAAGAGTGACATACTTCTTTTTGCCATTGCTGCTGGGGTGACCGTGTGACTGGCAATGCCAATGCAATGTTAACGGAGACAAGTAGGTGCCCACCCACTTGCACATCTGCAGATTTGCCCTGGGTGATTTAATGACTCCCACAGGAGGAAAGCTATGTGAGGCATCCAAGCCTAGATCAGACAAACCACAGAGCATCTATAGATTTATGATCAATAGATAGATGTCGGTATGGTAAATCACCAAGATTTTCTGGTTTTTGGTTATAGATCAATAGTTGTTAAAAAAAAAAAAAAACTCATCATGTTGAGGAGGAGACAGGATCTGGGAATATTAAGAGCTAAGCAGTGAGTGAGAATGATGATTCTGTTCTTTAAGACCCTTTCATACCTGACTCTGTACCCAGCACATTAACTATCATTAGAATAAAGTTGCACCCAATAGGAACTGGCTGAGTGACAGCCTGGAGCTGCAGCCCCAAGAGTTGTAACCCTGGGAATCCACCCCTTCCAAGTCTTCCCTGTGGCTCAGCATTGCATGGGACATTACTTGTCCACAGCACGGAGACTGTTCAAGATGGCTGCAGGGACAGAGAACAGAACAAGCCAGGTCTCTTCCAGGTCAAGGCATCAGTACCTTCAGAGGTGAGATGGAATCCCTGGCACCAACAAGGAAGTAAAAGTAGCTCAGGTTAGTCTTTCAACATGGTACACAGCATAAGACTTCTAGGCTTTGCCTTTAGAAGGGTGGGTGGGATAAGATTGGTCTCTTGTTGATCTGTGAGACTTGGGCTTGGAGATGCTATTTTAGATTGCCACTGTTTACCCTCCAAGTTGGTGACATGGACTCAAAAGTCATCCTGATTTTAAAGGATGTGATTGCTCTGTGCTAGTGGAAGCCATTAGACCACATGGGGTCCAATCGCTAGGGTGGGAGCCTGGTGATATGTTTGGGGCCCTGGTGATATGTTTCCCTCCTCTTGATTTTCTACTCTAAGTGACTTGTCAAAAGGATTCCTCCTGGAATCGCCGTCCTAGAGCCCACACAGCTGAAGACAGATGTTCCTTCACTATTTGCTCGTCTCTTTCTAGTTGAAGGACTATTTAAGAGTTAATGTACTCAATAGGTTTATTGCTGAGGCTCCACATACATATGTACATAATCCCTCCAATATGGAAGGGGGATTTCATTTGAAAATCCAGTACCCTGTGATTGAGAGCTGTGTGTTTTAGTTAATCATTGGAAGTCTTGTTTTGATAAAGTAGTTCTAATCAGAATGTTATCATCATAGAGAAGAAAGCTGCTACAAATCTTCCCTTAAATATGATGTCTAACTCCTCAGAGAATATACTTCTTGAGAGGTGCAAATCCATTTTTCACAAAAAAATCACTACTCCAAATTTGTTAAAATTGATTTTTCACTTGCTGTGGCAAATACCAGTGTGGAAATAGCTTTCAGCATTATCAATAACCTGTGGACTAGAGGACTCAACATATTATGCCCTGAGCCATTGAGATGTGGGCTTTATATTCCCTTAATCGTGTCTCACTTTATTGATAGCTGTTTTAGTTACAGTTCAGAAAAATACAGCTCTGTATATATGTGCACATGTGTGTGTGTATGTGCATGTGTGTGAATGTGTGTGTCTGTCTGGCTGGCTAGAGAGATTTATTATAAGGAACTTATTCACAAAACTATAAGGGCTGGCAAATCTGAAGTGCTTAGGGGAAGCAGGCATGCTCAGGACCCAGGGAAGAGTTAATGCTGCAGTTTGACTCTGAAGTATGAATCAGAATTCCTTCATCCTCCAGTAGCTCAGGGTTTTTTCTTATTAAGATCATCCTGATTGGGTAAGGCCCACCAACATTATGTAAACAAATCTGCTTTCTCAAAGACTACGGGTTTAAAAGTTCATCACATCTAAGAGATACCTCCACAGCAATATCTAGACTGATGTTTGACTATAAGCTTCATACAAAGTATAGCCACGTTGACACATAAAATTAACCATTACAGAAGCAAATGATAGATATTTTTAAAAATAACAAAATTCAAGAAGGCTGCATAACTATGTAAAATGTAAGACATTATAGCCAATACACTTCCTGTATCATATGCATATTTTTGGTGGCTTAACTTTTTTTTTTTTAATCAAAAGTACTCAGCTTTTTGTTTAAATGCTCTGTCAATCCTAAAATACCACGTTTTCCTTGCACAGGAGAATATACATGTAAAATACTTAAATTTGCTTGTGTAGTCAGTCTACAAATCTCACGTATTATAAAACTGTGATTTAAATAAGTCACCATAATGAAACAATGAGACACGGACTTTGAAAGAATAAGGGAAAACAGTTCTTTCCAGAACACTAAATCTTTGGGGAAACACAGTTTAATATCTTGAAAATTCCTGGGCTCCACCCTGATTCAATAAGCTTTTAAACAGCGCTGCTGGTGTAGTGGTATCACGCAAGATTCCCAATAAGCTTTTAAATTGGAAGGGCAAATGTTCATCTTATCAAATCATAGAAATAGTAAAAAGCTAATTTAAGAAAGAGCTACTGGAGACTGGCAGGCAAAGGGCAACTTATGATGGGAACACAAGCTGAAAATTCTTCTTCACTTGTAGGCGTTGTTCTGCCCAGAGGCCAACCCTACCGCTTACCTGCTCTGTGATTTTGAGTCACAACTTAATGTTTTCTTAGTCCAAATTTTCTCCCCTGCAAAATGGAGATGATAATGCCTACTTCACAAGCTTCTTAGAGAATTAAATGAGCTATGACATGAAAGTGACTCACACAGTTTCAGATATATAAAGAGTATTTGATAAATGCTATCCTTTGCTTTATTTTGTTCTCATCAGCTATTAATTATGGTCAAGATAGACATATGGTCAAGATGGAAGGGCAAAATCATTTTCAGCTCACAAACCACACTGATAGCACAAAATAAAATTACACTGATACTGTTAATTAAAGATGAGTCACATAGTTTGTGTCTGTTAGCACCTGCTAATGTTCTCTCGGGAATTTCATCCACACTTGGGATATGTCAGCATCGTGTGAACTATGGTACCTGGCCTGTGTCCTGTGGCTTACGTAGTACCTTGGGTACAGTTGGGAGGAGAGAATAATCACATGTTTCTGTCCAAGTATCCTTTCGCAAACAAAATTAAGATATTTAAAGATAAGATCTTAGAAAGTATAGAATTAATAGTTCCACTAAAGAACACATGAAGACAACACACACAGAATCAGACTTAAAGGAATCCACACACTGGAACAATTTTGTACCTTTCTTGCCAACCCTTACATTTAGTTATAACTTCCTATCCTTGGTTTTCCATGTGGTCTGATTGGAATGTCCTTTTCTAAGTTCCCCGAATACTTTTGGCATCTAAGTCTGGGATTTGGGGCCAGCTGCCCTCCAGCTTTTGGAAACCCCAACTGCTACATGTTCTGCTATTTGACAAAGTTAACTAAAGGTAGGGCTCACTGTGCTTGCTTGACTTAACCTTCTAGACACCCTTCCCTCTTCGCTGCAGAACAGAAGCAGAGGGAATATTGAAAACATTGCATAGCAACACAACCCTGGCCTTGGCAGTGGTTCTGTTCATCCAGAAAGGGGGAATTCTTCATCTTCAAAAGGAGGCAAGAAACCTCTCCAAACCAGAAGAATCTACTCATGGTTTTCTTTCTGTGAGGACTGAGACATCAGTCCACAAGGATAGGTTCGCCATCGTTTTATTTCTATCAGGTCTGAAGAATCAGTGACATCTAGGAAGCTGTCCTTAACCTCTAGAGCAAGGGAGGAAAACACATCATCTGCAGACACAGAGAATCAGTGATCCCAAGTCTGGTCCTTAGCACTGGCTGTGGCCTGAGAAGGAAGTGATTATCAAGTCAACTGCTCACAGCCCTGATCCACTAGCTCAGTAGAAGGAAGGGAGGAAGAGAAGAAAGATGAAAAGAAAGAAGCCTCAGTTGGGGCTGGGGATTTAGCTCAGAGGCAAAAGCGCCTGCCTGGCATGCGCAAGGTCGTGAGTTCGGTTCCCGGTACCGCAGAAAAACCAAAAAAACAAAAAAAAAAAAAAAAAAAAAAAAAAAAGAAAGAAGCCTCAGTGAAACAGCACCTCTTCCTAAGGCATTCAGCTTTATAGTTCAGAACTAGAGTATGATTCAGGTAAAGAGAGAGCATTGCTCCCTACTCAGCATCTGATAAAGAAACTACAAAAGCAGCTAGAAGCTTGCCAACACCAGGCAGTAGGGGCATCACCCACAGCCTGGATGGCCAAGGGAGTGGGAGCAACCCCTATACTTCCACAGCCAGAATGAGGCACTGAGCATGGCTCAAGGGCCAGAGCCCAGAGAGCTTCTAAAATAGTCCCTGGAATGTGGTACATGCATAAGAGAACATAGAGATGTCTTCAGCCAGCAAGGAGGAATTTGGGATCCCAGGGCTGGGACATCAGAGCTTTTGCTATGGGGAGCAACGCTAATGCTCTGTTTCTGTTCAATTTATTCAAGTGATTTGATTGCTACTGCAGGCCAGTGTCCAGTGTCGCTCGAGGAAGCACTGCGGACAAAGGGAACAATGACCAGCAAGATGAACAGCTGTCTTTGGGAGGATTGTAGCAAAGGGATGGCCCGACAGAACCATGTTTCATTTCAACGGTCCTTCACTGAAGTGGGATACACCATAGAGGCGGAGCTGAAGTCACTGGACTTGGGGGATTTGGGTACTTATGCAAGATCAATGCAGCCACACAATGAGGAAGTCGCTGATAGGATCATGGTGAGAAGAACAAATAAGCATGCCACTGAATAACCATACGGCAAACTTCCTGTTTGTCTAAGATTGGCCCTTATCTCATGCCTTGTCCTGTTTTTATCTTGCAACCTATTTCCTGGTTTTGCAGATGAGGAAGTCAGTTTGTGCAGCTGAACTTAACTGGGGAGAGACCATGGGGAGGACCATGGCTGGGACTGTAGGCTCCTCTTGCCTGTTCCTTCACCACTACCACAGCTCCCAGAGGCCAAGGTCAGGTGGTGGGCAGTACACAGAGAAGGTGGTTGGGACAGCTGTCCACCAGTCTCCTGGAAGGCCACGTCCATCTGTCTTGTGAAACAGAACAGAGGCTTCTCAGACCTTTCCACAGTGGGCAGTCAAAGGCAGAGGGTCAGATTTGTGGGTCAAGTAATGAGGTCCAGGAAAATGGGATCCAGGACAAGATAGGAGGTGTGAGGACCAGTGTCTCAACTCTAAAACAGAGGGACTCCCAGCTGGACTTGGTCTGCCAGTGTTACCCTGAATAGCACTGGCACCAGGCTTAGCTTATCACATCTTCTCCAAGACCTTGCTTTTCAGAGAGCTTGCAGGGGTGGGACTGCATGACTCCTGCCTTTGAAAGGAAGCAGAATGGAGCAGTCAAAAAATTCACAAGCAAATTGGTGAAGGTTGTGCAACATCCCTCTCCCCTTCTACGTTGTTTTCTGTGATCTATGCTCAGTTTTTAATGCCACGATTTGCCCATTTTCACCCAACCCCTAAAGTCCTCGTCCATACCCAACCATGCACTATCTAGAAGGACCCCATGTTGCAAAACATCTCGTTCATCCACATCCTCATAGAACCTCTCTTGGTCTGTGTTGGGAAACTGTCAGATGGCGCTTGCATTAACAAAGAGCCTCCTATCACATCCCATGGGAAGAGCTTCTCTCTGACGTCCACTACCTTTAATTGGCCACTGTGCAAATGAGGGAAGGATGCAAAGGGATCACTCAGCTGGTGCTGGCTGGGGACATTCAGGAGGCCAACTGAAAGACTCTATCACTGATGTTAAAAATGCAGTCAGAGATTAGGCTCTATTTGGCCATCTGTATGTTCTGCTACCATTGTCCCCTGTCAGAAAGCATGTCTACAGAGGGGTGATCCATACAGTACAGCTACCTGCTCATGTGAATCATTTGTCCACTCTCTGGCTAGCTAAGTCTGTGTGTCTGGCATGTTGGGGAGATTCTCAAGCCAGGTTCTCAGCCTCACTGTGCTCCCTGTTTCTGTTCCTTGTCCTCTGGCCTCTGGGCAAGAAGTACCCATTTCCTCTAGAAACCCCTGGGATCAGGATTTAGTGCCTTCCTGGGTGAATAAAGTTAATTTACTGCAAATTTAATTTACTAAGTAGAAATCAGTCACAGAGGGTACAAAGAGGACCCCCTTAAACAGTGCTTCATAAAAATAAATTGCCAAAGAAAATGGTACAAAATGTACCAGTGCTAATGGTACAAGTTCAAAATTTAAAGTTAAGAGCACATCACACTGCTCCTGGGACTCAATCTCTGTTCTAGGTTCTCAGGGAAGGATGAGGAGGAGGAAGGTTCAATCACACTTGTTCTTAAAGTGGGTTTCTGACCATTTTTGATGAGTCAGACCTTAAGAAAGTGGCATGTAAAAATCAATCGCCTTAGGAAAAGATGTTTATTTTTGCACAACCATTTCTGGCAGCACATCTGACTCCAGATAGCATTTGAGAGAGTACTTCTACAACCCAGGCATGCAGCTGGGTTGTATTACAAAGTAGTGAGCCCTGCTGTCAAAAGGAACAGAAAAGAACTAGGTATCAGCTAAAATCACTGCACCCATGGAGATTTACATAAAATTAGTTTCAACTCCCCAGGTCTAGGGGCAGCCCTATGCTCCCTTCCAAGTTTCCAAATATTTCTGAGGCTCTTTCTGAAGTTTCCTTCTGGTCTGCCTGGGCTCCTTGGCCCCCTCCGTCTTCTCCTCCACTCTCCAGCCACTCCCTTCCAGTGGGTGGCACTGGACCCAAGGTAGAAGTGTCATGGGCAGAGTAATGCTAGCTGCTCTGAAAAGAAAGTCCATAGCATAGGGTTTGTTTTTCTTTCAAACAACAGTCCATGAGATGTTTCTAGCTGGCCAGTACCTTTCCTTCATGTGATGATTAAAGGCTCCTCCCCTCTCCCAGGCCCTGGAAGACCTCTGTACGCAGTTGGTGGGTGAAGTAATGGAAGGAGATGGTACATCTGTACATCCGCATCTTCGCTGCCTTCTGAGAATGAGCACACATCACTACTGCTCACATTCCATGGGTGGAGTCCAGCTGAGCATGTAACTCTACCTAGGTGCAAGAGTTGCTGAGCAATGTTCTTCTGTTGGGCAACAGCTTTTCCCAAGAGCACATGGGTTCTTATTGGCCAATTCACTATCTTCACAGAAGGACATCTCCATTTTTCCTTCATCTTTCCTCTCATAAAAGGACTTGGTTCTTATAGAAAGTTGGGTAGTAGAGGAGTATTACACTGTGATGAAACAACTTCAAAGTGAATAGGGATGTGCCAATGCCTAAAAATCCTTTGCCTTTGGACTTTTTCAGGACTTTCTTGTTGGGTATCTCTCACAGAAGAATTTCTAATCTTTATTCTCACACTCATCTGCCCTCCCAATTCTTGTTACTTTCTTAAGGGGTCATAGTAGGGATCGAATCCAGGTCCATGCATATGAAGCTGGGAGTTGAGCCAGGAGTTCATAGACAACTTTATGAGATCCTTTCCTTCTTTCTTTCTTTTTTTTTTTTTTTTTTTTTTTTTTTTTTTTTTTTTTTTTTGGTTTTTCTCCGGTACCGGGAATTGAACTCACGACCTTGCGCTTGCCAGGCAGGCGCTTTGCCACTGAGCTAAATCCCCAGCCCCCTCCTTCTTTCTTTTTTACTCTCTTTTGCATTCCCAGAGTACATTCCTTTTCCAGAGATGTACAAACTAGCAATCAATTTTCTAAGAGAGAGAGAGAGAATCCCAAGCTGTTTTGAAATTAAGCAATACCCTATTTATTTTTATTTTTAAATTTTTTAAATTAATTTTATTGGTATATTTTTATACACACAATGAACATTTTCACTATAGGGAATTTGTACATAATAGATATTGATTCTTTTTTTTCCCTATTGTCTACTTGTTCTTTCCTTTTGTCTACTTATTTTCCCTATTGTCTACTTTTTTTTCCTTATTGTCTACTTGTTTTTACTCATGGTCACTTAAAAATATAAATTCAGAGCTAGGAGTGGGACATGTCTCTTGCTCTTTGCCTCATGTTAAAAGAGGACGTCAGAACCTTTGTTCCTCTTCTCCAGGATCTTCTTGATACTCCCCAGCTCCTTGTTACCCCTTTCCTGGGCTCTCATTTCCCTGTCTGTCCTGTTCTTCCTGCACTGCATCTGTCACCCTCCTGAGGTACTTGGAGTTCTTCCTAGTCTGTCTGATCCTTCTGGATATCTTCTACTATCTACTCCCTGAATTTTCCCCAAAGATTGTCACAGATTTCCATGGGAGACAGAATGATATGTGCTTAATCCATCTTTAGCAGAACCATACCCACTGAAGATTTTTAAATAATGAAATATCAAGCAGCTCTCTCTTCCAGAAAGCTCTCTTAGGTCGATCATGGAGGCTGGGTTGAAGGCAGTGATGCTGAAGCAGTGATCACTGAGGTGCAAAGAGAGGGCAGAGCCAAGAGCTACTGGGATTGGGGTTCTACTGGGTCTGATGGCCAATGGGATGTGGACATTGAGGCATGTGGGAGTGTCTAGACTGGCTCGCTATGAAGGGAGAAGGAAGAGAAACATTTGCTCCATGAATATCAGGTTTTAATAAATCTCTGCGTAGACAGGCTCTCCTTCCATAGATCATAGCAGGCAGATGTGAAACCTCTTTCCATGCTCCTCTACACTCCAGGATTCTTTGCTTTTGTGTTATCATCCAGGCCAAGCTACTCTCTGTTCTAAAAAAGTTTCCTTGAGTCAGCATGCAAGCATCAGAAAGCTTACCATAACTGGCCTGTTTGCCATTTTTAGTGGGACAAATTCAAAAAAGGTTTTATCTGCGTAACAAGCCATCACCTTAAATTATGAAGTAGTCACATATGTTTTAATTCTGTATATATTGCATCATGGGGCTTATTTTGGGATCTGTGGCTAAGGATTTTGCCATTTGTTTCTATGATTTGTTAGCAAAATTTCAAATATATAAAATGTTTTAAAAGAAATTAAGAAAATTCAAGCTTGCCTGGATTGGGACAAAAGCTAATAACTGTGATCCTAGTATAGCATGATGTTTTCATGACTTATTTTCACAGAAGTAGATACATCTTTTTATGTTTCACATCCACACCACATACAGATACACTACAGATTTATAGTCATACTACACAAGTCCTCGCCTCATCTGCTAATACATGTTCCACCTCAGCTCCTTACAAATGCTGAACTATTATTCCCATTGTCTTTCACAACTAAGTTCAACAATGATTAATAGCTCTGGTTATGGATAACTTTCTTCTTAACTTATGTATATCTATATCTATATCTATATCTACATCTATATCTATATAGAGAGAGAGATAGATATTTTCTTTTTTCCTCTGTCAAGTGTGCTTATAAAGAGCTAAGCCAAAAAGGTGTGTGGCTTGTTCAGAGTAACAAGGTGGTGGTCTGCATTACCTAGCAAATATTTCTCATGTTGCAAGCCAAGTGTTTACCTTTGGGTAGAAAAAAAAACTAAAATGGAAAGAAATTCCCAAGATAAACAATAGAAATGCAAGAACACAAGCCTTTATGCGTGAGGCAGAAATGGATTATTTCTTAGAAAGGCGTCTGAGAAAGGACTCTACAGCCACAAGACATAGTTTTCCTTTGTGTAGTTTGCTGGAAGCCAACAAAAGAAATAAAAGAAAGAAGGGCTTTGTCAATCAGCTGCTTCCTGAGTCCTTCATTTGGGTTAGGCCTTCTAGAATTTGGGAGCTTTAGATAGCATTCTTGCATGGCAGAAAGCATCACCACATGGCACTG